CCAACACAATGGTTGAGGAACAGTCCTCATTGTGATGTTCATAACAATGCGGTTACACTTTGATTACTCACTATAGGACTGCGCTGTCCTTTCTAAAGGATCGGTCACTGATGTTGGTTTTTAATTTCAGCTGCCTTCTCAGGCCTATAACTATATAACTACTACCATACAGCAATGCAAGTGACTGATTTACTGTTTAATTTACATCTAAATCAGGACAAGATCACAACCTCCTCAATTCAGATGAATGAGGGACAGATGTAAAAGGAGAAATTCTGGGATAGATTATTAAAATGATCTATTTTTTAACTGGAATAATTCAATGCTATTTCAAGCCAGTAACTTACTTGACGTACGCACTTGAAGAGTTGATGATAAAGTGACATCATAGTTGCTAAGCAACACAGGCTCTTGTTGAATTATTATTGAAGCCGTTAAATATTAAAGAAGTCTTAAAGCTGTATACATGTGTACTTTTCACAGTTTTTCCTCAACGTGAGTCGGCCATTTGGAGCTGGAGGTCAGAAATATCATTTAAAAAAAAAAAAAAAGTTTATTTTTCTGCTCCATTACATTAAACAGCTTTGCCTTTCTGGAGACAATAGAAACTCTAAGCATCAACCTAAGGTCAGCACTAAACAAAGGACTAGATAAAGGCCTTATTTATTCCCAAGTGACTCCGCTCTTACCCCGACACTGCACATGGGATTCTGCAGGATCAGCAGCATTTTAGAACTCAATCAAGGACGGTAATTCAATGACTTCGTCATTAATCCAAGCAGTGCTGGGTCACCACTGGATACACGAGCACCTCTCTGCTTCATTGTCTCTCTGTAACCCTTCATCTGTTCTCTATGCAGACTATAGTTTGCTTCAAAAGGTCAGCGGCACGAGTCAATCATTCTGGAAGGAGAAACACAAACATGTCATGATCTGTCAGAAGTGAGGGATGTATCCTCCTGCCAGCAGCGATACGGAAGAAACAAACACGAGGAGGCCGAATACGCTCTGTTCAGAAATGTCATCCACACGGTACAATCATGTGAGCGGCACGGACGCATCAGAAAAGCTCATTAAAGACGTTTAGATACCTTCTGAACTCAGAAGTTAACCAAGAGGAAATGAAATGTCAGCGCAGTCAAAACCTGTCCAAAACTAATTAGATAAAACGGGATCATTCTCCAATGTATTGCTACACGTTTGTGTTTAATGATGCGCGTCATGAACGGAAGAAATAACAAATTGAAATTTGATTGTTTTCATGTTTGCACATTTATGAAAAGTAATTTTGAGAATTAAAGGAGAAGTATTAATCAAAAAAATAATTGGCTTTAACTGACTGAACTGGCCACCCTATTCTTGTCTTCACAGTCACTCGCCTCTTCTTCTCTAGTCTTAATTTGGCATTCTCTTCTCTTTTATAGATTCTTACCTCCTCCTTCCTGCTTTCCTCCTCACACTTGTACTTCGCCCTTCTCCTCTTTCTCTCTGTCTCTCTCATTCCTGACAGGACCTCAGGCTTGCTATCCTATAGTTAAACCACCTTTATCCTCACAAGCACCCTGCAAACCATCGGCAGCCACACACTCAGAGCTATGGAGAAAGAAGACAATGGAGGAGAGCAAGGAGGAATGGGAGACATAAAGAGAGAAAGACGAGAAGAGGTGAAGCACAGGTGGAAAAAGACGAGGTGTTGGGTTTCATTTAAATGGGCCACGGTCAATAGAACAGAGGAAGGAAATACATACTCGAAATGGAGAGAAAGAAATCCACTAGACGAAGAGAGGAGAAAAATGGGCCGATAAGAAAGTTAGTGTGAAGAACAGCAGAAAGAGGAGAGCTCTGAGAAAGTCAGTGTGAAGGGCAAAGTCAGAGAGAAACAGTTGCCATCATTTTACCTCGTAAAAACGTCTTTGTGTTGGCTGAGAAGGCGATGGGCTGTGTGAAGGCCCTGCGGACCGGGGCACAGCACCACCGTGCATTATCAGCATTAACACAGACATGTCTGTGAATATTAAACTTTATGTAGCGGCCGATTCTGTGCACGGCTCTCATTTCCTCCACTAATAAACGACGTGGAGTTTAAAAGGCATAGTCCCACAATTTGGGAAATACTTGTTTTCGTGACGAGAGGTAGATCAGACGATCAATATCACCATTATGTTAGTAAGGTAAATATAAAGCTCCAGCTGGCTAGCTTAGCTTAGCATAAAGACTGGAATCAGGGGTAAACAGCTAGCCTGACTCTGTCCAAAGATGACAAAATCTGCTTCCTATCACCTCCAAAGCTCAATAATTAACACATTATATGTTCTAATCCATACAAACTAAAATGACAATTTGCCGGTTAATGGGTTGTGTGCCAGGTTAAAATGTTACCTTGGATTCTTGAGGGGAAGTTTGTTTTTCTGCCTCCATGGTGAACGAAGAATGAAAAAAAAACGAAGAAGAGTCTTGATGAGAAGACAGCGAAAGTATACCAAAACATCCGTTTAAAAACTCACACACACAACTCGTGCAGTATAATCAAAGTCTCACTACTATGTATGCTCACTAGTATGCTCACTACTTCCAAAACACATACATCTTCACTAACACCGTACTATTTAAATGCATACATAGTTGTGTGAGAGTTTGTACACATTATTGTACATTTTCTTTTTTTGAGTTATGTCTATTTCTATTGTCACGCACTAATCACCAAGCCAAATTCCTTGTGTGTGTGTAACATACATACATACCGTTTCTGATCCCGAGATGTCTTGATGAAGTCCTGCTTTTTAACGCCCCCCCCCCCCCCCCCCATTTACTTCCATTCATCAACACCTTTCTCTGTTCTTTGACTCCTTGTTCACTGTGGAGGCTCGAATTCAAGGTAACACGGAGTGAGTCACTGATATACAAATGATCATTTTGTGAGTGAAGTATTCCTTGAACCATTGCTTTGTCTTTCCAAGCTCGTCATCTACTTTACCGTACCTTACCGTACCGCTAAATGCAAAACGCTTGAATGGCACACTCTCCAAGTGATTAGAGAGGGATAATAATGACAATACCCATCACCTTGCCCGTAGGTGTAGGAGGTGGAATAACTATTTATTCTCTGTCACAGCATCTAGAAGCACTCTAGAAAGATGGTAGGCCCACTTATCGCTGTAATAAACACTCTGAGAGCCGAGGGACTGCCGGGAGAGAGAGAGAGAGAGAGAGAGAGAGAGAGAGAGAGAGAGAGAGAGCTGATGAAGAGATGAGAAAGACTGCATAGAGAGAGACAGACACGGACGCAAAAGAGGGAAAGCAAAGTGCTGAAATAGTTATGAAATGAATACAGCAACGTACGCACGAATGAGAGGATTGAGAGTGACAGAAAGAAACAAGTGAGGCTCTAGAGATGCCCACGAGCAGACTACTCTGAAAAGAGACCCCGCATGTTGTAACACACATTTAATCTTCTTATTCTTCTGCGGGATGTGGAGTGGTCGCGGCTGCCAGCAGGGGCTTGGCAAACACGGGGCTACACGGCTGACGCAGCTCGGAGGATTGCTTCCTCCCCATTCCGTTTTGCCCGGACGACCATTTGTGTGAATTATGACCCGGCCCCCAGCGAGACACAGCAAACATCTGCTAGCTGATTGGCTCGTAAATCCACGCGGCACCTCCCTGCCCACCATCCATTGTGTTTGTCTGTATAGTCAAATAGAAAAAGGCAAGAGGCCCGTCCAGCCAGGCTTGGTTCAGGTCCCTGTGGTGATGACCCAACAAACCTTAATGTGATTTGTTGCTGCGATTGCTGCTGCAATTAGGGCCGTTCTTGAAGCTCATTTGACGTGGTTAAAAGATAAATGTGATGCAGGAGATTAAGGTCAAGTCAGTATGTGAGAATGTATTGTCCCCACTTTTTGTCAAGAAAGATCCAACAGCAACAATAAGTCCATCTTTTTTTAAAGAAATACTAAAGTATATAATCAAATGAAAATGTGTACGACAGGAGTATGAAGAAGCTGCGAATACAAACAGAAAGAACAATAGCAAGAACAGGTAACGATACTAAAACAAGACTAAAAGTAGGCCAAGAACAGAGAGGAGTGACGTGGAGGTTTTTTACCAAAGAGTTTCAATAGTCCTGAATTATGCCAATGATTCATCAATTGTATTTCCAAGTGGCTGCAGCAAAAAACGAGGCTTTCTTTCCCATCTCTGACCATACGTTAGCAGCAGATATATGGCTTGTGATCTGGGCTAATGAGTGCACGATTAACTCAAGATGCAGCTAATCTGGTGGCGGATTGTAGCAGCGAAAGCACAGAAAACAACGTAGAGGTGACAGAGAATGTGAAGTTCATACAGGACCAGCAAGACCCAAACGCAGGTTCATCTGCCAATGCCTCCATCATGTTTGCCATCCTGGTACCCGTGATGGTTTATTGGGTTGTGCAGGAGAAAAGATGCCCCCAAAGGTACAGGCTCATAACTCATCTGCTTGGGCGCTGTACCTCCAATGTTTACTGCAGGTACACAATAGCATGGATTGCTTCCAAGCATCATTCTGAACTGTCTCTACCTGCATCTCATTCTCTTAACCTGTGTTCAGTACATCATTGTGGCAAACAATGAAAACAGAAGAAAACAGTCTTTTCTTCTCCTTAATATTTGTATGCATTCATTACACACAAACACACACACACCCTCCAACACACACACACACACACACGCACGCACGCACACGCACCTGTATGTAATCTCTGCTAACTCTGCGAGGTCAGGTAAATCACAAGAATTACAGCGGCTATTACAGCGGCTTAGAGCTGTTATGCAACCACAGCAGAATTAGCCTCGTAAAGACAGAAACCACCTTAGTCAAAATGTCCCATACGAATCATTTGAATTGAAAGACAGAGCAGTAACTTTTGAGACAAACGTGCTTTAGCTTAAAAAAACAATTATGTGCTTTGTTTTAAAACGAGAAAGAAAAAATAAATCGCCATGAGGTGTGTTGTTACCTTTGATTCAGGTTGGCTGGGCACGGTAGCGTGTGACGGTCGGTGAAGGTTCTGTGGTTCGTTCTCCTTTTCGCTGATTTCCGTCATATCGTTTGTCCTTCAACAGCAAAACCGAAACAAATGGATAAGTCCACGGTGACAGAGGGATGGGGGGGGGGGGGGACTATGCACGCAGAGGTTTAAACATCGCTACAGTCCGAAAGAGGTAGAGCTAGTTAAGTGTCAAGTCATCATCTTTCATCGGTAAAAAAAACGATATCCCGTCGAAAAGGTGCTTCTTATTCTAAATTGGTGCAGAACAGACCGATAATGATTTCATTGGTGTAAGGAAATATCCAGTCGCCGCTGCCGGTAGGTTTGTCCACTTCTCCTCGCTGTCTCGAGCCTCTCCCATGCACCGGCCAGTTTTCCTCCCCACTCGC